TACTATAGGTAGAATGAAACACTAAGGGTGGTTGAACGTGTCCCCTTGTTTAATTATTAACTTTACAGACGAGACAGAATGGCCAGACGGTGTTGCACGAAGCCTGCAGATTAGCAATTAGTTATTATATATGTAGGCAAGTTGGGTTGTCAGTCGCCCACCTGGCCACCAAATATAACTTTTGTCGTCAGTATTTCTAGGAAAATGGTGTCTTCCAAAGCATGCGAAAAGGCCTCCGACTGTTTTCCGCAAGCTGAGCCTTTTAGACCCTAACATCATTCAGTAACAAAGTATATGTCGCGGACTGTGAGCTAATCGTAACGTCACGGAGACAAGACTTCTATGTCTTGTTGCAGATAAAATGCTAGCAGCTCACCTGGCCTAACGCCCTATCTCCAAGCCTGTAGGAATGCCGGTGCAGATCAGTACGTTTAAAGAACGCTCACATTCGCTAGATCCGACTTGCACCAGCCTACAGGTTAGCATTTGTCACAATTTTCGGGTTTTGAATTCCATGCACCCATGTTTTTCGATGGTGCGGACACTGTTATAACCAAATAGGGCTTTTACCTACTTTTCTTGAAAGCTCAGCAAGAGTGTGCTGGCCGTATATTCAGCAGTGCTTATGTGCAGATCCAGGTCTTGGGCCTAATACTACTGCCCGTGGGATCCTTTAACATCGCCACCACAGAAAGAAGAAGTTAAAAATTACTAAGGACCTATTGCCGTTCCTTCCTGCATCTAACACTGACTCCCCAAGGTCTCGCAAAAAGAGTCTAGATCGAGTTCTCGGAATTTTAATCACAGGAAGCCTTTTTAAGGAGAGTCTCATCGTCGCCGTCGGAAGCAATAGACCTCGGTATCTGACTGTATGCGGCCTGTAAATGGGCGCGTCTCGAAGATTCCATGCCTCACCAGCGAGAACAACGCGAAACGATAGTGCAGTGCAGTTTTTGGGTATGTTGAGCCACCTCGACAGCAGAGCGGCTGTCGAATTTGCTAGAAATGAGCCAGTAAATTAAACTGTAGTTCAACTACAGAAGACTTCCAAACGGAGGTGGTAGCAACAATGAGATTGCAAACTTCCTCGCATGATATCACAAGCCCTTCCTGCAATTCCTGTATTTGTTCAACGAAGACTCCTGAATGGAGAAGACAACATGACAGACCAGCGTTTTAGATTTCTTCTCGCCAGGCCTGTAGGAGTAAGTTTGTCTGAGTCGTTTGGGATTGTTTGAAAAATTGTTTGCATGGGGAAGGAATCTGTGTCAACCTGTCCTGGTGAACTGAGAGTTGAATTCAAATAGTCTGCGTAAAATTACACCCAGGCATTCAGATAATTTATTCAGCCATATCAATCGCAGGATCGGCATGATATTCTTTCATGAGCACAGAAACAGGGCTTTCGTCGTCTCCGTTGTGGCCAGTTGGTGCCACTTTAAGAACTTTTAGTAGTTCTGTCCCACTGTTAAATACCCGCTGCTCAGTGTCTGTCATGGGAATGAAGATCAAATTATTGACCATCCTTATTTCGCGTTTTCCAAGCAACGCTGTCGGGGCTTCTTGTATCCTTTGAAACGGATCGATGCTGCTCCAATCTATGAAGCTCGTTCAAATAGGTAAGTCAGAGATGGCATCTTGGCGAGGAGTTGACAGTTTGTCTTTGCAGCCTAACCTTAAAACCAGGTTTACAAGAACATAATTTGTCATTATTGACGGTAAAAGTCTGAATGAACCGCCTCTTTACTACTTAGCCTGGTGTTTCACTTTGTCAAGTTACTTCAAAAAACGGGTGTGTCTTTTCTGTTCTTAAGCTTTTGATTTTTTTCGGTCCTTCATCAATGTTTTTTTAGCAACAATTACTTCTGTCAAACCTACTTTCCTCAGCAAATGCTGGGTCCTTTTCATTCATACTTCGAGGTCGCCTTTGGAGCCGCCACTTGCGACTCTGCTAGCCAAACAACGAACAGCGTTTGGTTTCTGTTTGAGAAACATAAAACTTGTGAACAGCGTCTACCGTCCCGACCCGGGATGCCGCCTTCAGATTTTCGTCGTAGGTAACAAGTTTACCTGTACAATGATTTACCGTACTAACAACACAGGTATTAGCTAAAAGCCCATGGGCTTTTTTCCTCGGAAACTAAACAAGGCAACAAGTTTACCGTCCTCCATCAATGATTCGATCTTTCGCGACTCTCAATGCTTCGAAAAAATATTCTAGCTGGCAAATTCGCGTGGATCAGACTCTCCGTTAACTAGCTAGCGGTTTTTTACGAGATTACCCAGGGTAATGGACTGCGGGTAATTTTGGTCCTCCGTGACCGTTTCGTCCATCAGGACTGACCGATAAATACGGAAACTTTTAGTCTGCTTGATTCTCGCTCCTGGGTCCCCTCCTCTTCGTGTTGGACGAAAGGCATAAGAGTACATCTGCTTGCACCTCTTCCCAGTCTTTTCTGCTGTCACCAAATCTGTAAAAATATGCTGGGCTGTCACAGACAGGAGCAACTGTCGATTTGCTTTTTATCCTGCCGGACGTGTCCCGAGCGCGTATTGAGGTGGAGGCGGTACATAGAAGAAGAAATCAGTTGGTAGGAGGCGCTGATAAGCGGACGCTCCTCCGCAAGCTCCTCAAGGTAACTTCCGTTGACAGCCCTCGTTCAAAACGCCGACACAGTCATCCAAGATCTCGACTGTCTGAAAAAAAGAAAAAATTCTAGTCGTGCGAACTGTCCTGACAATCGGACAGACCCGGATAAGGTTTTGGATAATTTGATAAGCGACACTCGCTTGGATTTACGTCCACATCGCTCACTTTAAAACACCAAAGGCGAAGCTTCCAGCGGATGTCATCGTTCTCATGCGTGTGTGTGTGTGTGTGCTCCTAATGAATGCGTTTCGCTTATCGGTCAGATTGGATCTATAGGCTAATAGACAAATGGAGACGCTGTTCAGATATCGCCTACGGCTAAGAACTTTGTAGGGGAACGACGCCACAGCATAAATACAGATTCGAAATAGCCGCGGTAGGATTCAGCGGCCAGTAATTATGTGTAGGCGGACGCCGAAGAGGATGGAGGCGCAAAACTAACTGAGCGGCCAGGAAGGACTGATATGCTGATCTTATCGTGCGTCTAGAATGGAGTTCCAGGGGCCTTGGATTTTGCCGGTGGGCGCACTGAGAGCTGTGAGTGCTGAGAACTGATGGCGGGGGGGGGGTGTGATTAATGTCCTCCCACCTCCCTACTTGGACCAGTGAAGGGTTTGGTCAGAGTCTGTTTGTCTGAAGGAGACGTAGTCAGTAGGGTAAATCAACCACAATTCCAGTCATGTAAAAAGCCCTCCGCCATCAGGACCAGCATTGCTTACCCTACCATTTCCTCCTTCTTCAGATTCACCTTTGCGATTTCACTCACACAAAATGTAGATGCGGATAGGCTGTTGACGGTATTTGTCGACTGTTTCGTTGAGAGTTGATCTGTACTCCAATGCACAGTTTCAGTTACCATAACTTTACTAGCACTCAAAAGGAACTCAAAAACGTTCCTCAGTCTGTTTCGGCATCCAGGAGACGGTACCATAAAAATTTACTGTCCTTTGTAACCTCATAATATGATTCAAATAAGCTGTATTCACCGAATAAGGGCATTTTGACGACGGTAATGTTATTTGTTTATAATATCGGCTCTGCAAAGGGTGGATGAGCCTCGCCCCACCCTTCTTTTTCGTACACGATCCTAACTACTCTTCTCTTTCTACTACTACTACTACTACTACTACTACTACTACTACTACTACTACTACTACTACTACTACTACTAATACTACTACTACTACTACTAATACTACTACTACCAATAATAATAATAATACTATTACCCCTTCTCTCTAACCTTTTTACCCCTAATACTTCCTCTTATACCTTTGCTACTTCATTTCAGCGGCCTACGTTTTAGTCCACTCTTCCATTTCAACCGATATATCCTTCTCCTCCAACACCGCCACCACCACCGCCTTCCTCATCACGACATGGCCGAATGACAAAGAATATTTAAGTAGCCACCATCATATCTACTTTCACTTCCTTGCTCTCGCTCTTAGTTTCTTTCTCATTCGCCCTTCCTCTGCCTGCTAGTACTACTAGCACGATTCCAGTTCCCCGTCCTCACTAGCTCCGCCCCCTCTGTCTTGATTTGCTAAACATTTTTACCTCCTGCCTACCAGTGATTGACCCATCGAGGATAGAAGTGACCACTATTGTCCCGGCGGAAGTGGTCATTTGCAATGGTTTCGACGGTAAATCTAGGTCAAGAGGTCTACTGATGCTATAAGATGCACTGGTTGACCCAATCAGACCACACAAAACTTCATAGTCTTTTGGAGACGGGCCGGTACCCCTCATCCGATTTCGCTCGCCAGAGAAAAGACTTACTGAAGTATTACTGCCGGCCATATCACAGTTTCGTAAAGATGCAGATGTCAGCTGGACACCGGACGGTGACAAAACGGAATGACAACGTGGGGCAATTAGGTCCCCGGTGGGAGTGTCGGTCCATCAAGACACTTAGCCATTTATGGAAACCCTGCTGCTCTCCTCTTACAACAATTAGGGCCACCACTACTTTCCGCCAGTCCGCCTCCTGAACATCCTGTTCCGTCCGTTTCGCAAGCGGAAATGTATGGCGTTCTGTCTGTCATAGCTCACAAAGCCTCGTAGAGCGGAAAGGGGTCGCGTTCTCGCTCCCACTTCGACCTCGATTACGAATGCTTCAGAATGGCATTGGGACAACCAGCAATACCATTACGACAACTGGTGGTGATGTTACTGTTACTTTAATTATTGTTCGCCGTATGATTGGCATGTAACTTCAAGCATTGCAAAGTAGTTTACGACGACGATAGTCAAGTAAATCTTATTGGAGTGCCAAAGTACTTTAACAAACGCACATAAAGGAGCAATTTTTGCCGGAGGGAATTAATTTACTGCGAAATAGTTCACGTTATTTGAATGTGAAGGAGGTCGGTGATTGCTCACTTCCTCGTTGCAAAGGCTGTTCGGAGGTAGGGATTAGTTCAGTCTCCTTGTGTGCGCACAACTTTTACATGAACATTTATTACTGCTAAGTATACTGCCTGACCCCCTGTTAGAGAGGCTCACTCCAGGTCTGCGGACGTAAAACAGCTGTATCTGGAAGTTATTCTACTTTAGCTCGGCGAGATTTGCCTTGGTAACCTACATCTCACGGTCATCATAAAATCTCACCTGCGAGCCTTCGGTGCCCTCCCTCCTCTTCCCCCTCCCCCACGTCTCTCTATCTCTCTCTCGCGTGGGCTCTCGGTTTCACTTTTCTGCCATTTATGCCTTCGCCGTCACCTTTATGACCTTCGTCAACCCTCTTTTTATCAATCTGTGCCCGGCCTATTGCACAGTTGTGCATGACCTAGGAAGGTGAGTGATGGTCAGCCTATTGTCCTCGAGCCAACCAAGGTAAGGGCCCTATTTTAGCGCGAGACCAGACTCCTGGGCCTTCGTTGAAGCGTTAAGTGCATTTTTTGCTAGGCTCGGAGTTGGGCTGATAGAAAGAAGAGAGACAGAAATTGTCATTGTGCACAAATTACCCAAACTAATGGGAGTAAAACGGTGCAGCAGGCATCACTCATCCAATTCCCTGCGCAGTCAACTTTATACAAAGAAAAGGTTGGTTGGTTGTAATAGTAGTAGTAGTAGTAGTAGTAGTAGTAGTAGTAGTAGTAGTAGTAGTCGTCGTTGCGGCGGACTGTGTGAGATGCTCATGCAGGAGCAATCAGCCTGATCTTATTGCATTCGCCTTAAATGTCGACCTGCACGAGGTTGGTCTTTCTTTATCGGTTTCGCTTGCACCGAAGTCCAATCTATGGCGTCCCGAGGAGATTGCAACCGTAGTGGTTTTACCCTGAAGATCGTCTTGACTTTTGGGCTAAACCAGACGACGGTATCTGTATGTCCCCCATGTTCCGGTAACTTGCCTGTGAAGTCCGGTCTAGCAAGAAGCGACATTAGAAACGCGGAGGACTCCCTCGCAGTTGTTTCACGCGGTCAAAGGCAGACCGACGAGACACACGCGTTAGTTTTTAGCTTGCCGCGCCATTGAGTCCCCGAATGTACAGCAGCCCCCCTCCCCCACAACGGGCCACGTCGTAGATGCCCTGGACCAACTCGGGGGTCAAATAAAGGCACGGCAGGCGTTATTGGGGATGCGTAATCACAACAAATGCCAGATATGGGGGTTTAACGGCATGCCTATACGTAAGTGGATGTCGTACCAGTCACTTGAGCCTGATCCCGTCTCTGGTCTCCTTGACTGTGTCTCGACACTAAGCCCAGACGAGGAGAAAATGCGGTAGATGCAGCGTAAGTCCATTAGCCCTATAAACTAACCCCTCCGAAAGTCGTCCCTGCGCAAACCCTAGCGCGGATCCCGTCGGTAACAACGGTCGAACTGTCGTACAGCAGCTCGGACCGAATCATGCTTGGGCCGTATTAAAGTAGGCGCGCCTTGGGAGTCTACTTGACGTCATACGAACAAGGGTCTGGGAGTGGATGTGCAATCGTCCCTCGAATTGTTTGAGGGAAACCCAATGGACGGGTTAACTGTGTTACTGCGCAAGTGTGATGCTGGCGGACTTCTGGCGTCCCCCTCCCCTGGGCAGGGGCTCGGTCTTGTCTACAGCTGTCCCGCATGTCTGTTTTTCAGGGTCTCATGCACAGTGCTGGGTATTAGTGGAGACTGTCTCCTATTCACATGAAAGGGATTTCGCCACTTCTAATTGGATTAGGAATTTCGTTTGATTCCGGCTCAAAAAGTACCTAATCTTTTTATGTTATTACCCTTTCTACGTTGCTTGTTGCTGTTTCTTATTTTGGGGTATATGCAGTTTTCTTACTGGTAGACCGATATATTGTGGACGTGGTCTGAGGACTAAGGGACGCACACGTGAACACACTACCGATCACTAAATACACTGGAAGCGCAGACTCCTAGGCACCGTCTCGAAAAAAATGGGTCATTTGGCCGTTCTATGTTGAGCTTGTCGAAGTGAACAGTACACAGACTGGATACTCGGTTCTATTGGTCACCAAAGTGTCGGAACGCGAACACCCGTTCTGTTAATTTCGCCTTGACGACATCTGTCGACTGGTCTCCGTGCCAAACGTGTCAAAGGGTGTTTGTTCTACTCGTTATAAGTGGGTGCGAATCAGCTAGTGACCTCATGAACTATTTAACTCACTATTTTTAGGGTAACACCTCGCGAGTGTTTATGCTCATTTCATGGTTTATATCCAGCGGACGAGGTGGGGCTTCTACCGCGTACCGCCTGAAGCCTTATTCTCAGCTAAGCATAATCAGGACATGTTGTTTACATGTTCAGCCAAAAAGAACTCTCTATTTAATCAGGCACTACAGATGAGAGTTATTACCAGAGAGTTATCTGTCCGAATCGACTTATGCACCCTGAAATGCATTTGTGTCCCACAATAGGGGCGAGTGCGTGTGCCACAGGCATACTACCAAGTTTTTCCAACCTGGAGTATTTGGGCCGATGAGCCATGGTTCCGACTGAGAGGGATTTATAGACGAGTCTGGATTTAACAGTCGAAGGGTGGACGAGTATCTCGGCTGTGCGAGGTGATGAAGTTGCCATCCATGGTTTGGCAGATATATGTAGCATAAGAAAGGCTGATCTGATCTTCCCTATGAAGAATACAAAAGGTATGTCTCACAGGGAGGATACTGTGATTGTAACTACTTCCAGCAGTTCGACCGTCGTAGCTGACGATGTCCACCGTGCGTTCAACAGCAGGGTGAGAGTGGTTACGGTGACTTGTGTGTGATTTCGTTTATAGTAGTAGTAGTAGTAGTAGTAGTAGTAGTAGTAGTAGTAGTAGTAGTAGTAGTAGTAG